TTGCAAAAGTGAAGTAAAGATAGAATGAATTAGTTCGAATAGAATTGAAATTAATCTATCAACTGAAGGATTTGCTTCATAGATAAGATCAGTTAAGAATTTAGGTCTTTTGCTAACTAGGGTTTTAACCAGATATTTGTAATTAAGTTTGGATTCAGGAGCATTTTCTGAAGCTGCTTGAGTGATTTTTCCTAGATAGATGTCAATAAGGTATGGTTTAATAAAATTAAATAGTTGTTGTGCAATGTAATTATTTAGTTTGGTGTTAATTTTTATAGACTCAGTTACAGGATATTCTTTAAACCAATCGAGATTATTAGTAGTATCTTATTGGTTTACTTTTGGTTTTTGTTTTTGTTATAAATTGAGTTTTTTGTTTTTATTTAATAAGAAGGATTTAAAAAGTGGATTTTTTTAGTAGGTTTTATTTGTTGAATTTTGATAAGAGCAAAAATTAGTTTTTGTTTAAGAGTTAAAGAAGAAATAATTTGTTTTTTGGAAGTAGAAGAAGAAGTTTGAGTATTTAAACTAATTAGTTTAGATTTAATTAAAGCTATAACTATTTGCTGTTGAAATGTAAGAAGAAAGGTTTGAACTAAAAGTTTAAATTTAATATCTAATAGATGAGGAACACAAAGTCTGTGAATTAGATTTTGTTTGAAGATTGTACAGATTGTGTAGTCAGAGGCATAACTACATTGTTCTATTGCTACACAAGAAATATTTTTAGATCCATATAAGAGACATATGTGATAGTGTTGAGAATATGCAACAATTGTAAAAGGTGTAAGATCTATTTGAAAGTTAGAAAATAGTATATGAGGTTTGGAAGAAGATGAATCAGATTGTTGTTGTTTAGGAGTAAGTAATTGAAATAATTCATTAGCTATTTTTTTGAAATGACCAATAGAAATAGTAGAAGTAGTTTGAATCATAGGTTGTCCAAGAGAAGTAAAATGAGGGATTCTGTAGAATCGAGAGATAAAGCTAGTATGATATATTTTACAAAGACATATGCCAATAATGGATTGTTGAGGAACTTTGAAGTAATGATACTTTTTGTTATATTATAAGTAATTGGATTAATGTCTGCTGAAAGCATATATAAAGATTGAGGTTTACTTTCTACTATTCCTATATCATGTTGATCTTTATATCTGCTATGGTAGTAGTTAATATCATAGAAGTCAGGGTCTTCAGAGATTAAAGTAGGCATAGTTTAAAGTTTAAAAGATAAAAACAGAGGCAATAAATAGAATTTTGGGTGTAAGAGAATCTGAAAAATATAGGATGTGACAAATAAGAAGTGTGATGAAGAAGAGAGTATGACAAATAAGAAATATAATGAGTAAGAGGGTGTGACAAATAAGAGAAGATGACAAATAAGTGGCACAGAGTGTGCAGGTTAAGTGGTTACAATGATCGACATTGAACAGATTTTTGTGTTAGTTAATTTAACCAAAAATAAAAAAATTTAAAATTTGTATTAAATTAATTAGTAATATGGTTTTTGGTAGTGATCTGCAGATGCTAGACATCCTAGCATACAGAACCCCTCCAAAAAAAAGAAAAATTTTTTTGCAAAAAAAGAACAGAAGTTTTGTAAAGGAGTTTTAAAGGTTTTTTGTATAAAACCTTCAATATTAGTCCAATATTGATGTATAATATATCAAAATGAAGCTCTAAGTGAGCTCTATTTTTTTGTTTAAAATAATAACTAAGATTAGCTTAATAGATTATTAAAAATTTTTAGAAAAAGTATTTTGCAATTTAATAAGTATATCTTACTATACAGAGGTCCGAGAGATATAAAACTAGACTGCTTATATGTAAAATTTAGTTGTGAACAATTTTATTTAGAAGGCCAGAAAAGGTTTATTTAATAAATTATTTAGTTATTGCCAGTTTATTATCAGAGAATTTGGTACAAGTGATTGTTGGAAAGAGTTAATGATTTGTGTCCTTAAGTAAAATTTTTTTAAAACTTTAAACAATAATAATTTAACTAAAACTTTATTAAATTTATAAAACTTTTTAAAATAAATACTATAAATTTGTAGAATTTATTTAAAAATTTTTTTATTAAATTTGATTAAGTTTTATTAAATTATTGTTGTTTAAAGTTTTAAAAAAAATTTCAATAAAAACAATTTATTTGATTTTTATTAACTCATTCCCATATTTAATTTATTATATAAAAATTTATTATACTATCTAAGTCATATGAAAAATGATCTACATTCATCCTATCCTTAATATATATTATTAAAAATATATAATTATATATAAAATTTAATAATAAATATTTTTTTATTTTTTGTTAAGATAATCTTTTGGATCTTTTGATTTTATTTAACAACAATAAATGGAAATATCCACAGCAAAAGGGGGGATGAGACTATATAATATATAGTCCCATCTCTCCCTTTTGGTATAAACATTCTCAAATATAATTCAGTAAACTACTACAGGAAAAGCATATAATTGGCTATATATATAAGTTTTCTATATTACCTATTTAAGAAGTCTGCCTAAAAGTTCCTTACCAATTGTCATATCTAATATTCCTGCTTAGGTATTTTATTTTAAACCTTCTGAACTTGCAAATCTATTAATTTCACTGAGTTATATCTAATACTCAAATCATTATCTTAACCTTAGAATTATTTTATTCTTAAAATAAATCTTTCAAAACCTTCTGTATCTATTTTTATAATTGATCTAGATATCGCTATGGCAGAACCAACATTTGTGATCAGAACTTAACCATTAAACTGCTATATTCTTATAGAATTTATTTAAATCCTAATATTTATTTTATAATATAAACCTAGTATTTTAGTATATTCCTATTTTTTTAACTGTCTTTTTATCAAACTTTCAATTCAGATAACTCATATAAGACTATGATTAGTTCATTAATATATTAGGTTGATTTGATATCTTTTTTTTTTAGTTTGTTTCAACAATCTTGTTGGTGATATCTTCAAAACTCCTAACCCAAAGGTTCTTGTTTGTTTGGCTATTACAACTAGATACTACAATCTTAATATTCATTTCATCAAGCTAACTTTTACAGTAAAACTATCAAAAATACTTAATTTCAATAGATTTAAATGATTATAAGGACTTATCTAATGTTTGTAATACCCAATTGCCAGTTTGTATTCCTTTATATAACCACAAACCTTGTTTCAAAAAACAATGTTATATGACAGTTACACAAATGCCTCATAACTTGTCAGTTATACTAATGTGATCACCATTACAGATATCTTAATCCAATCGTTAATGACAATTGTCATAATACAAATATTAAATAGGTGATTATCCAAATTTTCACCATTAATGGAATTTAAACATCCAACCTACCACTTGGAGGGTTGACAACCTGACCATTTCACTAGGTTGCCACATTCTATAATAAACATTTTTACTTAATATACAAAATCAAGTTGTTATAATAAACTTTTGAGCTATTAACATTTCTTTTTTGTGCAACATGTTTCATATATTGTCTACACCTTTGTCCACACCTGTCTATTGACAACACTGTTAATAACCCCTAGTATAAATTATAAATATTCTATGTATAAATAAATAAAAATTATAATTATAATAGCAATTATAAAGGGTGTGGCGACTTAGTGAAGTGGATAAGTTGTCAACCCTCCAAGTGGTAGGTTGTGAATTCAAAACCCATAGATGGCGAAATTTGGATAATCACCTATGTAATACTCGTATTACGGCAACTGTTCCTAACGATTAGGTTAAGATACCTGTAATTATGGTCACACCAGCATGACTGGCAGGTCATGAGGCATCTGTGTAACTGGTTACACAGAGGAATGCAAACCGGCATTGGGCGGTGCAAACTCAAAATAAGTCCTTGTGGCCGTGTAAATCTGTAGAAATTGGAGAACAAGAAGCCCACTTGGGAAGACCCGAGTAGAGAGGTAACACAGATCTTCGACAGTACTACTGTAAAGGCTAGACCTAGGAAACGGATACCAATATGGAGTATCCGAATGGGCAAAAACCTCTGGGTGGGGGGTACTACCAACCAGGCCGCCGGAAGTTTAACCGGAAGGACCGGAGGAAAAGGATATCAGGCCGACCTGATACGTATACTAATGGGCAGGTCGTAGTTCTACTGGGCTATCTGGATTGGGAGTTTGGAGAAAAAGCAGGGGTATACTAAAAGTACTAAGGATATGCTGTGAAGTAAGTGCTGGGGGCTGGGTGAACTCTGCAAGGGCAAGCCCTGTTAATGTTCCATAGGTGAGTAGGTAGTTAACAGGGGGGCCCTCCAGAGCCTTATAGTCAGGTGTCGTGCTCTGAAAATAATTGTGTAACAGCTTGACAGATGTACAGAAGAGAGGCTAAATGTTGGGTTAGATGACACTTAGGTGTACAGGAACCGGGATGCTAATTGTCTGGGTGTAGTATAGGAATCAGAGTGTTTAATTAGATAGTCTCCTAGTAGATTATAGGCATGGCAGCTAGTGTAGAACCCTTGGGCGGACTACTTAAATAGGTAACCAAAAGTTACACGTGTGGCTAGTTGTACGCTCATCCTGTACATGTAATATATAATGTATTCACTAAAAACACAATAAAGGCATTAGCCGCCATTAACATCGGCCTTAAAACAAAAAAAAATAAAAAATAAAAAATAAAAAAAAATAGCAATTATAATAAAAAAAAACTTAAATTTACAAAAGTGATTATATATATTGAATTTGTAACTATATAGAGAATGATTATATATATAAAGATTTATGGTCTAATTTTATCTATCCTTAATTGATTAGTTATAGCTAGTTGTCAACTAAAAAAGTAAGAAAAAAAAAACATTAGTGTTTCCAACTCGGCTAACATTCGTGTTACTACCCTAGACTAATCATGTGTCTGTTTTTTTTTAGCCAATAAAAATGAATTTTCACCATTGCTGTGGTAAATCAATTTAACATCGTTAAAGCTTTTCTGACGTAAACGAAATGGCGAGTATCCATCAAAGGCTTTTGTGTAATATGAAAAAAGCTAATTGTATACTCTTCGTATTGTAGATTTTCAATCAACTTCAAAGCGACAAAGGTCTCACAAAACTCAACACGTTTTTAGAAGAACATTCATATATTGAAGGGTAGTGTGTTATTGTTCTTTTATTACTTGCGCAAGGTTATCGTTATCCTATCTTCTGATGATAACTGGTCCGTGTTTCTGAGCGGACATTCTTCCGTTTATGAGTGAAATCTACATTTCAATTCTCTGATTTACATTTTAGATAGTAAAACCTTACTTTATCAGAATCAAATAACAATATAATTTTGTATTTGATTTGTAGCTATGAACCAACTCAAGCAGATGTGACTGTATTCAAAGACCTTGACAGTAAGGTTCCTGACCACGTGAAGTTCCCTCATGCCGCACGATGGTACAATCATATCGCTTCTTATTCTGACGAATTCACCTCACTACCTGGCGAGGGAAAAAAGGGTGATGATGGTGATGATGATGTTGACCTATTTGCTTCTGACGATGACGAACCAGATGAGGAAGCAGAACGACTAAAGGCAGAACGTCTAGAAGCGTATCATAAAAAAAAGGCAGCTAAACCGAAGGTTATCGCTAAAAGTATGGTTTGCTTAGATGTCAAACCTTGGGAAGATACTACTGACTTGGATGAAATGGAAAAGCTTGTGAGGGGCGTTACTTTGGATGGGCTCGTGTGGGGTGCTTCTAAATTGATTCCAATTGGCTATGGCATCAAAAAGTTACAAATTTCATGTGTTGTCGAAGATGACAAAGTCGGCATTGGTGAGAATTTTATATTAAAATTATCAAAGTTTATGCAAATATGTATACTTAATTCTGTTTATTCTTATAAAGATGACTTAGAAGAACAAATCACTGGGTTTGAAGACCACGTTCAAAGTGTTGATGTTGTTTCTTTCAACAAATTGTAATTATATATCATTGAAAACTGCTACTTAATTGTGAATATATAATAAAAATTATAAAATCGTTAAATCGCTAATTAAATGTAAAAAAGTTGGCCGGAGGATACTAGCATCGCAGGCTTCAATCCTAATTTATTTTGCCTGTAAATCATTCTTGTATTTTTAACCATTATTTACGAATTTTAGGTCATAGATTTTTATTAACCTGCCCTATTCTGGCTCTTTTGAATGTCGCATCTCACCTGGTCTTATCTGATTGGTTAAGGATGACACTTAGCGTCAATTAACGCTAAGAATCATTTGCTTTGTACTACATCGAAATTGCCTTTAGGGTAAATGTAATTTTCTGAAGGGTAAGATAGATTAGCGGCGCAACCAAAATTCAGCAGATCGGCCCGAATTATGGGTCGATTTAGGACGGTATTAAGAAGTAACAACAACTAAGTATATTACAGCAAAAATTATCATCTGGGCAGCTTTACTTAGTGAGTGGGCTATGGTTTCATTAGTAAAATTTTGAGTGTTTGGCAAAATTAATCAACGCCCACCCATAATTCGGGCCGATCTGCTGAATTTTGGTGCGCCACTAATCTATCCTGTGGGGTAGGGGTTAGGGATGTATTACTAGGGATGGAAAATTACTGTTATTTACGTTATTTTACGAAATTTTGTGTAATCTTCTGAAATCAAAATTTCATGTAATTTTAATCATGTGATAATGTAGGCTAATTTTATAATGCTGGTGTATTGAATTCGGGCCAATTTTTTAATATTGATATACGTAATTCTTACATTATCGTCAAATGTATATGTAATGAAGTTAATTATATGGTAATTTAATATATATCTTTAGAAAAAGTTAGTTTATAACACAATAAAGAATGGTTCAAACCAAAAATATCAATGTATGGGACAAATATACTATGTTTATTGACGAAAATGGTAAAGAATAATACAAATGCAAGGCATGTAATAACAGTTAGGCAAAAAATGTTACTTGATTACAAGAACACTTAAACACATGTATTTTATGCAAGATAAATGAATTTTCAAATGTTAATAAAAAGTAAAAATTCATGAATCCAGTTAATTTTACAAAGTAAGATCAATCAAATTAGAAACTTTATTTGCATGTATTTGTTATATATCAGATGTTTCATTTAACATAGTAGAAAATGCTAATATTCAAGCTTTTTTTAAAAAAACTTGTTCTTTTTTTAATATATCATTGCATCATGTTTTTTTTAATTCACTTCTAAATAATGAATATAAAAATCAATAAGAAGTTGTTTAAAACATTCTTAATGAAATGTTTTATCATTGTTTAGTAAATGATGGTTAGTCAAATATCAATAAGTTACTAGTAATAATCTATATAATAATTATACCTGATCTAATTTTTTATAAGTTAGTTTGTACTAAAGAAAATCATTATACTATAGAGAATATTATTAGAGAAATTGAAAATGTAATGCAAAAAACTAGAATAAATAAATTCATTAGTGTAATTACAGATAATGCAAATAATATAAAAGCTATATAGAATATTTTAAAAAATAAATATCTAAATAAAATGTTTTTTGAATATTGGATATATGGAATTAACCTTTAGGTTAAGGATATTTTGAAGAATGAATGAACATTACAAATTTTTAAAAAAACCAAAGAATTAGACTTATATTTTTGTAATTATTAAATTCCTATAATAATTTTTAATAATTTGCAAAAAGAAGTTTATAATATTAAAATTGCACTGATATTATCTATTAATACTAAATAGACATTAGTTTTTGAATATCTTAATCATATTTTACAAACTTGAGCTGCAATATATGTTGTATTAACTAAAAACAATATTAAAATTAATAAAAATATATATTAAAACTATTATCTCTTAGATTGTAGGCTAATACAGACAAATTTGTCTGTGTTTTTGTATTTTTTTTAACTCTGATTTACTTTTTTAAATTGTTAAAATATATAAATAAAATTTGATATAATAATATTTGAAAATAAAGATTATTTTTTAGTAGTATTTTTTTTAAATTATAAAAAAAAAATTAGGTTGCTTATAGATTAAAAATATACAATTTTAAAAAAAAATTTTAATAAAAAATTTTTTAATTTATCTATGATAAACTTTTTAAATTTTAATTTTAAACATATATTTTTTAATATAACTTTTTAGTTTATATTAAAGATTACAATTTTTTTTATTATAAGTTTAGTAATTTATATATAAAAATTAATACTTGTCTTAAGAACAAAAATTTTTTTAATTTCAGAAACATATGAAATTTTAAAAAATCTAAAAAATATTTAAATATTAAACCTTAATGTTATACAACTTTTAAACTTTAATTAATTAAAAGTTTTTTAATAAAATTAAAAAAAATTTCTTAACAAAGTTTATAAAATAGGTTTTAAAAAATATTTTTTATTTAAAAAATATATTGTTAAAATTAATTGTTAAAATTTTATTATAAAAATTTTTTTTTTTTTCATTATCTTGAAGGTCTTTAGATACCTTTAGGATCTGTTGCATCTCTTAAAGGTCAGAGTTATTATTCTGCAAAGATCATTAGATGGCATATAGTCTTTGCATATTACTAAACTTGTGAAATAACTTATACTTCATTAAGTTTATCATATGATGTTCTGGGTCTCTGGTTTTGTGATATAAGACCTACTATTCTTTTTGATCTACAGTTTTTTAACTTTATATAACCTATTATCCAGATCATTTGTATATTTTAAAGTTTTTAATTTTACTATTATGTATTCTTAAATTAGACTTTCTTAATATTAACATTATTTGTTAACAGAATATATCTTATTTGGTTGTTTTTAACTTTGTAGCTATACTAGTAATTGCATTTTTTTTGTATAAATCTTGTTTTTGTTTTTAAATAAAAATCCTTTATAGATCTTTTTTCAATCATAGTCTTGACAGAGTTGTTGTCATTTTTTGAACTTAAATTTGTGATCTTGTGATTGAGATTCAGGAGTGCTAACTACTGCACTATTGATCCACAAGTCATAAAATTAATTTTAAAAAAATTAATATAAGCAAATTTATTTGTATTATACTTTTTGAACTAATCTTAAAAATCTTTGTAATTTTTTAGAATTCTTTATTATTTTTATAAAATAATTAGAAAGAAATAAATTATATCTTTTTTTAGTATATAAAATATTACAAAAATTAAAAAATAAGTTTATATTAAATTTACAAATTTTAATAAAATTATATAAAGATATTTTACAAGCTACAAGAAATTAATAGATAAATTTTTTATATAATCTAACAATTATTGTTGTATATCTTCTTGATCCTAGATATTATAAAAAAAATCTTGATTTTACAGTATAGATAGATAAAATAAATACTGAAATAATTCAAATTGCAAACATTGATAATAAAAATAAAATATCAGAAGAATTAGTAGAATATATTGGAAAATCAGATAGTTTTGTAAAAAAGTATTTGTGAGAAAATCTTATCTTAAAACCAATTAATTGATAAAATTTATTAAATATGCAATATCTAGTTTTAAGCCAAATCATACATAAGATCTTGTTAATTTTTGCAATTTTAGCTACAAGTAAGCATAATTGGTCTGTTTATAAACTTATTTATTTTAAGTTGCATAATCAAATGCTTATTTAGTAAACAGAAAAACTTGTTTATATATATTAAAATACAAGAATTTTTTATAAATTAGAAAAATCCATATTAGTAAAAGATCTTCAAAAATCAGGTAATATTAGCTTAAATAATCAAGAACAAAGCATTATTCTTAATAATAAAAAGAAGAAGAAAATAGGTTTTTAAATTTTTATAATAAAATTCTTTATATGTTTGATGATAATGATATATATAACTCTGATAATTATAATAAAAAATAAAAAAAATTTATAGTTTTATATTTTGAATATGTTTTTTTAAAAATGAATATAATTGGTAAAAAGAACTTAGCTTAAAAAAAGTTAAATAAATATTTTTTATGCTTGTATTGTTATATTAATACAAGTAGTAAGTATTTAATAATACTGATAAAACTTGATCATGCTAGTCACTTTTAAAATGTTAATTATGTTATAATTACATAAAAAAATACTATTAGTTGTAAAATTATATTTCAATTTTGTAAATTATAATGTAATTTATATAAAATATAATTAAGTAATTTATGTAATATATCTTTATATATTATATAAATTACTTTGTTATGTTTTATATAAATTATATTATAACTTATAAAATTATAATATAACTTTATATTGAATAGATTTTTCTCAGAACAACAAAATTTTTAGTTACCTACCTTTCTAGGCTATCTGGAATGGCAGTTTAGTAGAACTTGAATTGAATACCAAAGTAGTAAGGATATGTTGTGAAGTTAGTATCAGAGTTGAGATGAACTCTATAAGAGCATAGCAATTTAATAGTATGCCCTGACCACCAGTGTTGGTCTTGGCCATAGTGATACCAGGTCAGCTGTAAGAATGGGATACAGAAAATTCTGAAAGGTTTAGTATAAGGTCAAAGGTTCCTCATATGAGTGAACTGCTTTAAAGACTTAGTGGCCATAACATATTTTTACTAACATCAGCCAGAATTATTAGTAGACAAAGGTAGGTGAGTGGATATGGAAACAGAGTGGTTAAATAGAGAATCTACAAGCAGGTTCCAGGTATAGCAACTAGTGTAGAACCTTCAGGCAGACTACTTAAATTAGACAATAACTAAAGTTGTATGAATGACTTGTTGTACACTTTTCCTATGATTGCTCCTTGTGGTTGTAAAGCATTCATTAGCTAAATATACTACTAATAAAATCTTGAGTTACAAGTACTCACCTTAATATTTAAAAAAAAAAAAATTTTTAGTAACATGATGTGACAAAATTAAAGCTTACTTATATTAGAGTTTGAGTTAGATAAAAGATTAGAAAAAGATTAGCATATAGTAAAATTGGCCAAGCAATTTTTTATTAGAGTAT